AGTTATAGGATCATCTGTTTGTATAAAATAAATAAATAAAATCAACAATAGTAAATAATGTATTACTATTTGGTTTTAATAAGGACTCCTACAGTTGCATAGAAAATTTAAGTTATAGGATCTGTTTGTATAAAATAAATAAATAAAATCAACAAATAAATACTTACCGATGACATGACGTTACAATGACATGACGTAACAATGACATGACGTAGCGATGACATGACGTCACGATGACGTAGTGAGGACATCGGAAAATTATAATATAGATAAGTATAAGATACAATATAAAAAAAATATGAAGGGCTAAAAAGAGTTATTGATGATTTAATAGTTGATAGTTTATATTATATACTTTTAATCAGGCTCTCCTGCTCCTAAGAATATACCCTCATAAATAAGTACACTAGAAATTTATCTGTAAGAAATCACCTATTTTATTTTGGTGGCATATTTTATTTTGTTCATAATTAAAATATATTGAATTATTAGTAAATTACAAATGTGTTCTAAATATATTGTCATTTAATATAAATGGAAAATGGAAAAAGGCGTTCTAAATATTAATAGGGGATATGTTAATTTTACCCTATATATATTTTTTTAAATGAATTAAAAAATTGGAAAACGATATGTATCTTAATCAATAGGAGAGAAAAATATTTAGTTTAGATATAGCCTAAATAAATTTAAAACTCTTCTCCCTCACCTCTTGTATTTATTATAATCCTACAATTCCATATTTCCATCTAAGATTTATAAAAGTAAAATATATTATAAGCAAATATTTTTGTTAAATTTAACATATGTTTTGGGGTATTTGTTCATTCGTTCAGATGCTTCAAGGAAATTATTTTTTGAGAAATATAGATATTGATTTTTTTAGATGTTCATTATATATTCATTTATAAATAAAATATTTATATTTATAAACCTATATACCTTAAAGGCTTATTGAAAATGAAATGCCTCTTAATTATTGAAAATGGTAATATTTAATGGATCGGCCCGAATTAAAATCTTTGAAGCAAAAAATCTTAAACCTACAAATTTGGCTACTCGTCATCTAGTCTCAGCCAAACAAAATCCAGCTCTCATTGATCCTTATGTCTCGATTAATGTAGATGATCTTTTTATATCCCGAACTACCACAAAACTAAAAACACTGAGTCCTTCTTGGAATGAAGAATTCAAATCAAATGTGCAAAATGGTCAAATTCTGGGAATGACAGTTTTTCACGATGCTGCAATTCCTCCTGATGAATTTGTTGCAAATTGTCAAATAACATTTGAAGATTTACTTCTAAAAAAGCTCAATGATATATGGGTAAAAATTATATTGCGCAATATATCCTTATTTAAATTATATAATTTTAATGTATGTCAATTATATTTTATTTATATGTAATAAGAGAGCAATTTCTGGCAAATGCTTCATATGCCAGATTTTAGTAATTTCTAAAACCAAATTCATCTAAAGTGCACATTTTTTTTAATTTTGAAAGACCTTATCTAGAATCCTATTCTAGTTTGCATAGAATAACTTTTCTCTTAATTTCAGACAATTTTATAATATTTTTTTAATTTTTATATAAAAATTAATATGAATTAAGGGTAGTTCAAAAGTTCACCAAAAAATTGGTTGTTATTCACTAGATAGATACCTTTACTTGTTAAAATATGATTCTGCCATAATATTAAAATATATTCAGAATATAAATAAAATTATGTATACTATTTTATCAAAATTAAAACGTATTTATTATAAAAATATTCTTATAAACCTAAATGGCACTATTTGTTAAAATTTAATAAATTATACAATTTTGGGGAATTATAATTCTTATCTGCCTTTTACAGCATAATATTCATAACTATAACATATTTTGAAAGTTTTATTTTGTTAGATAGCTAGTTAATAGTACTATACAAACATAAGAATTATGGATGAGGGTCCCTACACCTGCACAAGATGATTTTTTTATACCCTCCACCCTCCCCAAATTAGAAAATGCTAAGATTGCTTATATATACTTTTTTAAATATTTTGTAGCAAAATATTATTGAACAATATTTGTAAAAAATAATTTATCATATTTTTTTCTTGATTTTTTCTAAAAATAAATTAAAATTGGCTTGATTAAATTTTATTCTATATTACTAAATTTTTTTTATTAAACTTCAGCAAGGAAAATTATTTTTATTTTAAAAATAACATCTATCAAACAAGATTTACCCCCCCCCCCCGGTAATTTGGAAGGCATAGGTCAGATTTTGATAATGAAAATTTGTGGCTTCATCCATGTTAAACCAATGAGATAATAATACTTGCCTAGATTTACTATTTATTCATTCAAAATAAAATACATTTGAAACTTCTTTAAATCAGCTGGATATGCCATTTTGGTTTCCTATATAATTTTTTAAAACAATAAATAAAGAGTAGGAAGAAGGGAGGGGGCATAAATTTATATTTGTTAAATCATGTTTAAAAAAATTTATTAAGAAAGACTTTTATTTATTTACAATCAATAGCACAAGAAACTTATGAATCAAAGTTGTTGACTTGGGTAAAGCATTGAGGCATGAGTTAATTTATTTCTATTTTTTTCATTGTTAGACTATTCAAAAAAACAAGAGGACCGAGTGGGTGGGCACAGGTAGTTTTCTTTTTGGCTAAAGAAAAAATTAACTTAGCCTAGGCTAAACCGCTATAAAGGATCAAAAAATGCCTCTTTAAAAAAATAGAGCAATTATTTAACTACTTTGACAATAAATAAAAAAAGAAATCGAAATAAATATCTTTTAATCAATTTTATATATATATACTAACTAAGTAACTATAAAAATATTAGGTGCAACCACACATAACCGTTTAAAACCACCACACAACTTAATTGTTGTTAATTAATCTTGGCCAAACAGTCGGATTCACCATTTAGAAGATTTTATCTTAAAAATTATCCACCCCTATATCTATCCTATTTTTTTTTAAATCAAATAACCTGGCTTGGTTGCATTGATTCGACTAAAACATTAATTAATTATACTTCTGATTAAAAATAATTGAAATCTAATTATAAATGATCGAAATGGCATACAAATCGGGTTCTAGCAGTCCCCCCCCCTCTATTATAAACTAATTGGAAATTCAGCATTAGATTTACGTTTACCAATAATATTTCCTAATACTAAAATTTTATATTTTAATATTTTTTTCTCCATCTTTCTTCTTTACTTTTCTTTATAAAATTAAATGCCATTTATTTGGATTAATTACATTTATAAAAAATCATATTTAAAAAAATTTCAACTTACATAATATACTTTACTTTATTAATAAATAATAGAATTTATAATTAAATTTATTTTGATGTTTTTATTTTTTTATAAATTCAAAAAAAAATTTATATTATTTATTTTATACAAAAAAAAAGCCAATGGTCATTAATTTAAAATATTTGTTCAACGAAAAATAATAAATACATTTTGACTTATATATTATATAAATAATCTTTTAAATTATTAGGATAAGGAATAAAAAAAATTTTGAATATAAAAAAAAAATTTATCAGAAAAATAAAAACCATGAAAAAAATAATGTTATAACAAACTAAATCGATAAAAAGAAAATAAATCTTAAATTAATTTCCTCCCCGTCGATCCTTATCAGCCAGAAATGCTTACTTCAAAAACAAAATATTTTTCTTGATCAAATTTAACCTAAAAATGTCAAATATTTAATAGTGCGAACAAATTGAGTATTTTAAACGCTACGCTGCTGCAAGCGTAAATAATGCATTTTAAATGGCCTCGTGCAAATTGGTTAAATTACCATTTGGCGTTAACAACCATTTTAAAAAACGCAAACAGGTTTGCTTTTTCAATATTTTTTTTATTCTTCGTTTTGTATTATATAAAATGTAATATCAATAACTTGCTTATATCCTAAAAAGGAATATTTAGAAATTAAAGAAATAAGAACGCAGACGATAATATAATTTTAAAAGACAAATCCTTTTTTTTTAGAACTTATTTAAAATTTTGAATCGATGGATATTGATAAAAAGACAACCTCAATTTAAACAAGGGACGCGTTTCGTTTTTTTTATTTAAAAATTACGGCAAAACGTAAACGCTCAATTTGTGCGCATTATAAGTAAGAATTTTGATATTTTCATGCATAAAAAAAATTAAAATCATAATTTTTTTTTTAAAAAAATAAATAATTCCTTTCAAACTCTTGTATTTAGAAATTAATTCAATTAAATATTTTACATAAAAAGAGAAAATTTAATCAGAACGATAAAAATTTGTTGTGACTTCTACTTTATTTAATCGTAATAAACACATATCAATTTAATACTAGTATATTTTTATAGGACCGGTTGGATCGCGCCTTTAAGATCCTGCGACGGTCTTGCTCTGCATTCACATAGCGCGAATTCGCTTAATTCTTTGCCGCGAATTTGCGTTAACCATGAATGGTTACACCGGATTCAATTTTCGGTACTTCTCTTTTTAAGGGTTTCCCCATTTTTTCTATTTAGGATTTGAATATTTGTATATATAATTTTTTTTAAAAAACATTTACAAATATTAAAAATAATCTGTGTGATACCTTCGAAGCTGATATAATTAACCTTGTGAATAGCGATGTCTACTCTCTGTCTCAAGAAGAAGTCTTCACGAGAATCATCAATAAGTATACGAATGTCAGAACCAAGTTCCCTAAAAATTGATAAAGCGCTATTCCCAAAGGTTGTTAAGGTAGTAGAAATTTCAGAATATTTGCAATTATTAATTGCTCCTTTTTTCTCAAGGATGTTTGGGGTTCGATTGGGGTGCCAATGGATCAATATCACCAATAATCCCAGTCCAGGAATTGGCCCCTCTTCCAAGGAATTTGAGAAATCTCATCTGGACGTTTCCCATCATATTTGAAAATACCTGGAGGTTCTAGAATATACGGAATTTCAGCGGATCTCAAATTTCTTAGGATGATTGAGTTACATAAATTATGCCTAACAATACGATCTTTACAAGGACGACAATGAAGGCTATGTCTTCCATTTCCCTCAACAGTGGAATTGAAATCGGAGCAAGTGTGGGGTAGGTTATAACAGTTTAAACGAATACCAATGACGTGAGTCAGTTCATCTTAGTTTAGTTGTGATTCTAAATTAACCGAGGGAAAAGCTTCAAATAACTCATGACCAGTCATATAGCGGTGAATAATGTACGGTCAGATAATTTCATTTTGAAAGGAGTTGATTCAACGTAGCTTGTAATTATAGGTCTATCCCAATCCTTTGCCTATTCTTTTCTGAACAAGAGTGGACAATAATTCGGGGCGTCTAATTTAGATAATGGCACCATCAATGTGAAGGATCAGGTTTTATAAAATAGGAATTTATTATATTTTTCCTTATTAAATAACTGGATATAGAAACAGTTAAGGCAAGATTGGAAGAGATCTGATGCCATTCTTAAAGAATTTTTGAAGATATTTTTTAAACTCTGTTTCTTATAAATATTAATTATATGAATCTAGATAGATTAATCCATATTTCATGATGGTATTTTTGCTATAGGAATAATTATTATTAGTTATTTTATTAGAGATTCGTAAATGTACTGCAGGGTATGGATGTGTTACCCATTTTGTATACTTCGCCGCGAATTCGCGCTAACTGTAAACGCAGGGTTAAAGATTTATTCTTTATTTACCGACTCGCCCATAGTTGATCTTTTTTAAAAATTATAATTTTTAATTTTATGGCTCGTTTTAATTCCCACACCCCCAGGTTGTCACAAGATTTAAATCATGTTTCAGCTTACCTCTGGTTACCATAAAATAATTTTAAAGTCTCAAAGCTGCATAACAGGACATAATAGTACAACTGCCAACGGCCCCAATATAGAGACAGTGATTAAATAGATGTTTAATTATTTTCCAGCTCATAAATATATTTTACATGAGTTTTTATACTTGGCCTTTAATAGTTTTACTTTCGGGCCTATTTGGGTGGTGCGGATCTTTAAAAAGGATGTTGCTTGGAATGGGAGGCCAAAAATTTTCTTCGAATTAATAGAGTTGTTCAAAATCAAACACGGGTTTTTACTCGAAAAATAATATCAATATTTTCTATTAATAGTGTGAATTGGATATTTAATAAGATAGTAAAAGCCTAGTTAGATAGCGCCTTACTTTTCGAATTGGAATTGGTTGGGCCGGATCGGCCGGGCCGATAGGCCGAAAATTTAATATTAGGGGTATATGGTCACCTTAAATTTTATAATAAAGATAGGAGAACGTCACTTCTA